AATAACTTTAAAAACTCACTATTGTTTCTTCTGGAGATTCCAAAATCAGGCTTCTCCCCTGAGAGCCAGGTCTGTGCACCCGGCCCGTGGAGGCTCCTCCATCTCAGCTTGGCCATGCTGATCTCCCCCTGCCCCGAGCCTGCGCTGTCTGACGTCCCTGCCGCCCCCGCCCCTGCTCCTGCCAGGCCACCCCTCAGCTGCTCGTCCCCGGCTTCGTCCCCACAGTCCAGTGCAGGCTGTGGAAGAACGAGCCATCTCCACCTGCAGACACACGCGCTCGGCATCTCATTGCTTCTTCCCGCTGCTCTCATGCCTCCTGGCCCCCGCCGCTGGGTCTCCCCAGCCTGGACCATTGCAGGAGACTCCCGACTGGCTCCGCGGCCGCCTTTGCGCTCGGGAGTCTGTCCACTCCCCACCCCCTGCCCTGGCAGCTGGAGGGATCCCACTCAGTGCGACTCAGATCACACCTTTCTTTGCTCCAAACCCTCCGTGCTCTCCCTGTCTGGGGGTCAGCACCAAAGTCCTCGCCGCGACCTGCAGAGCCCCTTGCTCTCCAGCCCGGCTTCCCCTGTGACTTCCCCCCCACCCCCTCACTCCCTGCGCTCAGCCTCCCCGGCCCCTCTGCTGGTCCTCGGACAGACCAGGCGCTGCCCAGCCCCTGGGCCTTTGCACTGGCCATTCTCACAGGCTGGAAGGTGGCCGAGTGGTGCCTGGATGCTCTCACAGGTCTTTTCACTGCCCTCCTACCTCACCGGTTTCCTCCCTGGGCTTAGCGTGCCCACTCGCTCCTCCCCCAGGCTGGCGGCCCACGCGCCTGCACACAGTAGGCCCTCACTGTAGCTGGGAGGGCTCTCGGGGCATCCTCCCAGGGTGCCTGGCCCGGGAGCTGCAGCAGAGGGATCTGCCAAGGACCCCCCCCCCCAACCCCGCAGGCTTCTCCTGTCCACAGACTCTTGCCTGAGGTCCCTCACTTGTGTCCCAACTCAGGGTGGACGGAGCTTGTTCTCTGCTCCCCCCTGCCATTAGGATCCCTGGGGCCTGCAGACCACACTGCCAGCTGCCCTGCCCCTGCGCCCTGGGGAAACCAGGGCACAGAGGGCTTCCTGTTGATAATGGGGAGGCAGGATGGAGGGGCGAGGAGGGGCGACTGGCTGGCCAGTCCCAGGGGACCAGGTCCTGGGGCTCCCATGCTGTTGGACCCAACCACACGTGCCTCCCCCAGGCCCGGGGCCCTGCACTGGCACCGATCTCTCATTCCAATCACACAGGGAGCCCTTCCATAGCATGGATGCTTCTTCCCAGACAGGACTGAGAGGCAGCCCTGGCCCCGATGCTGCACCTGCTGGCTTGTCCTCCTCGCTCAGGGCCTCACTTCCCCGCCTGCTATGACAGGCAGCCTCCAAGTGGGCAGGGGAGGGGCGTGTGCTGGGGTTCCCGGGCGTGGAGCCCTGGGTGGGACAGAAGCCGTGGGAACCTGCCTCATGGCTGGGAGGAGAGGGTTGTGGTGGGAGGTGCAGGGTGGAGGAGTCCCATACACCTTGTGCAAATCCTGGCCCCCACACGGCCTCAGGGTCCTTGTGTGTCAAATGGGAGCACAGGCAGCCGGTGCTGTGGCACAGCAGGTTAACGCCCTGGCCTGAAGCACCGGCATCCCACATGGGCACCGGTTCTAGTCCCGGCTCTAGTCGCTGGGCTCCTCCAGTCCAGCTCTCTGTGTGGCCTGGGAAAGCAGTGGAAGATGGCCAAGTCCTTGGCCCCTGCACCAGCATGGGAGATCCAGAAGAAGCTCCTGGCTCCTGGCTTCGGACTGGCACAGCTCTGGCTGTTGTGGCCATCTGGGGAGTGAACCAGCAGATGGAAGACCTCTGTCTCTACCTCTCTCTGTAACTCTGTCTTTCAAATAGATAAAATAAATCTTTTTTAAAAATGGGGGCACAAAGAACTAGGTTGAAGTATGACTGGAGGGCAGAATTAGATAAGCATGGCTAAGAGCTTGGCATCGATCTGGGGACGTCACCCACAGTCACCCTGCCCCCTCCCTGGGTTGCCTGGTGAACTCCTAGTCATCCCACAAAGCCCTCCACATGCCCATCTCCTCCAGCGGGGGCTGCTGTCACGGCCTACACAGCTTTGGACTGCACGCCTACCCTGGCACTGTGGGTCAGTGATTTGGTTTTGTCCTCTGTCTCCCTTACTAGCGGATGACTTTCAGGAGGACAAGAAGAGGGCCAGACTCAGGACTGTGTTTCCAGCACAAGGCACAGGGAGACGTCTGCAGCTGAAATGGGCAACCCGCTCAGCACCTGCCAGGGCGCGGGCGCTGGGGAAGAGGAACAGCCCGAGCTGCTCCGCCAGGGGGTCCTTGGGTGCAGGAAGGGCGGGGCTGCCAAGGTCAGCATCGGCCAGCTCTGCAGCAAAGGACTCTGGGAGCTCGGCAGGGCCAGCCTGCCTGAACGTCTGGCCCTCTCTCCAGGGCTCTATTTACCAGGTATCGATTTTCCTGCCTGTTTACTGGTAGTTATTAAAGGCGCTGTCCCTGGAGTCCTTTTGGAGTGAGATTGGAGCCTGGAGAGCAGTAGTAATTAGGGCAGCTGCCGTCCCCCGCCAGGCTCCGCGCCCCGCAGCGCCCACTGCTGCCCGCCCGCCTGTCTGTCCACCTCCCCAGCCCGGGCTGGCCCTGGAGCAGGCTGTGGGGGTGGGCGGCGGGGGGAGCGCGCGGCTGGCTCCCTGGTGACCTGCCTGGACTTCGATCTCGAGATTTCCAAGGCAGCGGCAGCAAAACCGCTCTTTGTCCTCGGCAATGGCCTTGGCCTAGATTTGCAGACAGAACAATGGGTGCAAGACGGGGCTGCGGGCTCTCCAGCCTGGGAGACGGGCAGGGCTGGCCACTCTGCCCCCAGGGCACCTGCTTGTGCCCACCACAGCCACGAGGATCTGCGTCCCCACGGCAGTGAGGGGCCTGCTGTTGCTGTCCTTGTCCCCTCTGCATTAGGAATGTGTGGTCGAAAAATTCCAGGCTTGTTCCAGCTGAACTGCAGGGAGAGGGGCTTGGGTGTCAGCTGGCGGACTACAGGAACCGGGCCCCCTGGGACGGAGGGTGGGGTGCCAGGGCCACGGCCACGGCAGCCAGTGACTGCTTTGGGCCTGGGGCAGAAACAGGGAGAGGCAGAGACCCAGAGGGGAGGAAGAGGTTAGGGACGGAGCGGCTAAGACACACACACACACACACACACATACACGCAATGGGAAACAGGGAGGCAGACACAGGGAGGTCGGGGCCAGACACAGACCGGGTTTGAGAGGCAGAAAAAGGAAGACTGGGGACGCAGAGGCCCGGGTAGCCATGGGGGGCAGCAGGGAAGCCAGAGCCCGAGACCACGAGGTGAGAAGACGGGGGAGGAGAGAGCCGGGGCAGGTGGCCACTGCGACAGTAACACAAGACAGCTGATGTCTGTTGCGCACCTACTAAGTGCGGCTGCTGCGCCCCGCACATTTCGGGCACTCTCTCCCTCTGTCCTCACACTGTTCCGATTACTCCCATTTTACAGATAAGGAGGGGCCATCTTGGGAGGGTGCGAGCAGAGGGCTGGGACTGACGGTAGCCGCGTGGTAACCCGGCCCAGGACGCCTCCCGCGGAGAAGAGCTCACGGCTGCTCAGCTGGGCGAAGACGGCTGTGTGGGTGGCTCAGCCCTGGCCCTTGGCCTCCATGGAGAGCAGGGGCAGCCCCTGCCCCCAAACAGTGCCCCCTGAGCCAGCCCAGCCCCGAGGCCCAGCTGGGAGCCCCTCCCTGTGGGGGTGGCTTCTGGAGGGAAGTGATCTCAGTGCGGGGAGAGCCGGACCCTGGCGGGCAGGAGGGCCCGTGGGAGGCGGTCATGGGACATCCTGTCAGGTGGGGGAGTCCTGTGACCCGGGCTTGGGTGGTGCGTTGAGCCTGATTGAGCACCGACTGGATGCCAGCCACCCCCCGGGGGACTTTTCTGAATCCCCCACTGTCCCCAAGGAATGCTGGGCGTTGCCACCCACAGGGCACCCATGGGTGTCTGGCCCCGGCTCAGAGGAGCTTGTTCCATCCTCACAGCAGCCCAGAGAGGTCAGGATGCTATGAACCCATTGTAGAGGTGAGGAAAGAGAGGCACGGGGGAATGGTGTCAGGTATCTGCTGGACCCAGACCGAGGCTGCCTGTCCCCTTTACCCCCCGCTCTACTTACACGAGCCCATGTTTCAGAGGGGGAAACTGAGGCAAGGAGTGGCCTCAGCGAACAAGCGATACGGCTGCAGTTCAGCTCCAGGCTGAGTTTTCAAGCCCTCTGGGAACAGCTGCCTTCTCTCCAGACCCTCGGGCCGACTGCGTGGCCGACAAGTCCCCCCAGCAGCCATGACAGCAGTGACAAATACCTCCCCGGTGCCAGCTGCCACGCCTCAGTGCCAGCTGCTGTGCTGCGGGTTCAGGCGTATCCTGTCCCCGGCCTCACAGCAGCCCTGGGGTGTGCACTGTCATTAGCCCCATTGGGTGGATGGGAAAACCAAGGTTCCTTGAGCCCCCGTGAAGTCGGGGACGGGCGCCGCCAGGCTGGGATTGCGGCTGGGGCCTCGCCTGCCCCTGAGCGATCAATAAACCCGCAGTATTCAGTTTCCCTCCAGCTTCTCCTCGGGGACTCGTCAAGCTAAGCCGCGCCCGTTAGTGGTTTCTCCCTGGGTAAGGTGGGTCAGGCTCCCCGGGGCTGCGGGCAGCCAGGCCAGGGCAGGGGAGCAGGCAAGGCCGGGGCTGGGGTGTATGAGCAAGAGGAGGTCCCCCCTCCCACCAACCCCGCCCGAGGCAGCCGGAGGCCGGACCAGGTGGGGCTTCCTGGTACCCGGGTTCCACACCCTGGTACAACGGCCACAGCTGGAGATGGGAGGGGCAGGGCTGGGAGGGACGGACAAGCCTCTGCCTGGAGCCCCCCAGGCCGCTGTGAAATGAACCTAAGAGCAGCAATTGAGGAA